CCCCCAAAACCCCAAAACCCCAATACTTAATTTACATTGAATAATAAGTAGTAAAAAAAATATGTTTATCTAGTTTTAAATTTCTATAATCGCATTTATAAAAAATATCTAAGTTTGTCCTTTAGCATAATTAATGTGGGTGATCATCATGAATAAGTCAGAATTTAGATGCATTCATCTATTTTGATAATTTGTCATATATGTCTAATCTTTTCATTTGATTTATGGCTATTTTAACCTTATCATTTTCTATATATTATTTCTATCTTTTATTGACTTAATACTTTTGTATTTGAATTTCTCTTTCCTCAATTTGGGAATTAATCAATTGCACTTAAGACTTTTAAATATCAATATCTCTCATATAATAATCTTTATCTTGTTTAATCTGCTCTTTAATTAATTCGCATTTATGTTTCTAAATTATTTGATCCTCATCTAATTTGATCAACTCATTTTAAGTATTTTCTCGTTATTCAATCAAGCTCAAACTGACTTCGACTATTTGCTATTTTACCTTTTGAATAAGCTAGAGTAGTTTATTATTGCTGGCATTCTAAGCCTTGAATTGATCTAGTTGCACCTAATGAACCTTCTATAAAGCAGAACTATCTTCCTAATTTGTACGAATTTTAGTTCTTAATTATTTGTTTCGTTGTTCCAGTTTCCTCTTTATTTTTATTGCATCCTCAAGATGCTCTATTTTGCTTGTAATTAAACTCTCAAATTTTTAGTTTTATTAAACTCTAGTTGGGGATGTATTCTGACTCATGATGCTATCCTGTCTCTGCTTATAATCAATAGTCTAGTGAGTGGCTGTAAAACTTGGAGTGTCAAATTTATCATAATCCTTAAAAATGGATTCAACTATTGAAGTGCTAGAGTTCTTTTTAAAGTCATCTGTCATTATCTAGAGATTCTTCTCGTAATTTCTATGATTCTAAGGTTTTGGCCTAAACTTCTAAAAATGCTCATCAAGAGTGACTGTATCTGCTCTGCCATATGTACTTATATTCTATATCTGTATGGCATCGCTATTGATTGTGGATATGTTTTTTGCTGGAGACCTGTAATTGCTAAAATCATAGTCGAGGTCATTTTTCAATCTCTGTTAATGATTCTATGATAGTTAACTTTCAATATTTCGAGATGGCTAAGAAAAGTAAGATTCCCTTGGGGATAAATCTTGTTCAGATAGATCTGCTGATGACTTTGATTCATCAAATTCATGATTTTCAACTCTTATATTTTCCAATTGATAATTCTCTAGCTGTTTACCCTTCTAATTTTCGTATAAATAGTTTTGTTCATCTAAATGGCACATATTCTATTAATACTGAAATTGATCTTGATGATTGAGATTATTGTTTGACTATTCACTATTGAAAAAGCTATTTGGTCTAACCAGTTAAGTCTAATTGAAATTATTTTTGACTTTGTTTTTCTAATGAATTGTATCTTATCTTTAACGTCTAACTTTTGCATCATCAATATGTGGGTTTTGATTTTATTTTTAAGCTATATGTTATACCAATTAAATAGTCTATTATAACTTATCATTCTAACTGATACCTAACGGTGATTCTAAGTTTTCAACCTAAACTTATGGTTAAGCTCTTTTAAAGGGATTATATTTTTTTGCTGAATTTTATTGCGAATTAAAGTTTTATAATCCGTCTTCAACGATATGTTGTTAAATCTTTTAATAGAGCTCTAATGAGGCATCTCTAGATTTTTTAATTTATTTTTATGCCCCAAAAAGATTAATCTATTTGACTTCAACTAATGAGTATTTACTACTTATTATAGATCAGCTCTCATTACCTTTAGGAGTATTTGTGATGCTCTAGTATTTTGAGTTAAGTCCTGTGTTTCCCTGATTAATAAAAGAACCTTTAAGTGATGATTATCCTTTACAACTCATTTTTATTTAATTATTCAGTATTTTTTGTTTTATTTCAATGATTTTAACTCAATGGGGTTTTGGGGTTTTGGGG